AAAAAGGTAAATTTAGTGGTCGGTGCTGTATAATGTTATCCGTTTCTTGTTGATATTTTCATGCATTGTCAGAAAAGTCAGCAACAGATATATTTAAGCATGAATCAAATGACCACTGAAGAAGAGTTCTCGGAAAAGATAAGACGCCACTAATCGAACATGACGTGTTACATTCAGTTAATTGATGTTTCCGGTGTGGTTAAGCACATGTTCGTGCATACAACACTGGTCATTGCACCTGCTTCACAGGAAGGCGGGGGTGCTCCTGGGCTCAAACAACGCTAAAGCTCACATCACGGCAATTTTTTAGGATAGATATCAGTTGACATACATGCTAGACATGCATAGCATTGCTTTGCTCACAAATAAGGCTGCTCAGGTCAGGGAAAACTGACACAAACACCCAGTCTGAATGTGAAGTCACAAGACACGCTACCGCTGAGCAGACAGTTTTCCGTCGACGTGAACCGATTTATTCGTGATAGTTGGCAACATTGTTTGCGGTAATGGCATTTGATCTCACTTGCCATTGTGTTAGGATATAACTCTCGAATTGAATCGCTGCATTTGAACTAATTATACATTTATCCAGTATTTCTGTAATTAGTTGACCTTTCCTCACCGGTCACCAATCTTACATCCTGGCGTCATGTATTAAAAACGCACTGCACAGCTGAATGTCAAACTCTAAGCAGCTCCAGGAAGTTAAAAAATAAAATAAAAAACGTTTGTCACGCGGATCATGCAGTGACAGTTAACTTGATAATCGATTAAGATAAGCAATATTATGTAAGCATAAGGTCACACGAAGGACGAATAGAGCTTCAAAAGCGCTGCCAGAAGAAGCTTTAAAGCTTCAAATGTTTTAAAGGGATAATGAATGGAAAAGATTGGAAGATAACGGGAGTTAAGTGTGACGTTCTCGTAATTGAGTACGCAGTCACCAGGCGAAAAGGGAATGACACAAATAAAGCACGACAAACCATTTACAGTTATTGCCCATGTTACGTCGCGTTCGAGTTCTCAGAACGTTAAAGGTTTGGGTTGCCTAATCGTCCCCAATTCTGTTACGCTTTCTCAACACTACACGTCCTTGCCAATAAATCCTTACTACCCACACAAGTGCTACACGGTAAACTTAATATGTGAATTTGCCAAATGTGCCTCATCTAATGACGCTAAGTGACGCATTAGAAACCTTGCAAAGCATCATGTAAAGCGCATGCATCTTCATTTGGCAATGATTCCTCATGCACTTGTCACCACTGAACCCCACCAGGCGAGACAAGTAGGCAATCATATACACCAGCGGACCTCATCCCCCACTAACACACTCCAGACTCTGCGCAGCTCCCCAGTTGACCACCCCTCTCCCTACCGCGTCGGATCCCGTGCCAGCCGCCCCCAGGCACCGTCGCCGGCTTCCCGACCCTCCTCCATCGACAGGAACGAAAAGTGAAATCGCATTCCTGGCTCGGAGCCAGCTGGGCCAGCGGGCCGCCTCTGCTCGGCCGCGCCGGCCGGACGGCCGGACGGTCGGTCGGCTCGTTAAAAGTGAGAGTCGGCGCAGGGAGCCGGCGGAGGGCCACGTGCCGCCACAGGCACGTGACGCAGTGTGACGTGACGCGGCCGGCAGCGGTTCGTTACGGCATGATGCACTGTGACGTGTTGGTCGACGGCGTCCAGCAGAGCGATGCAGAGTGAGGAGAACTACGATAATACTTGATCTAATTTGAGAACTACCGTGATTGCACTGTCGGACACTAAGGACGTTGTTGGTTGCTGAGGAGCCACTGTGGTATTAGACCGTTGGTTATCTCGTAATCTGGGCTGTATCGGTATTCACGCTGAGCTGAGACCACCACCATCCGGGACCACCATGCCGCAAGGGCTTTTGACCTTTGAACGTATCCACACAGCAGATCGTTTGGTTGTAATGCCATGCAATCCAAACGGTACCTGACTTTGAAAAGAACGCGAGTGGGAGGAGAACATCCAAAGCCTCTTAGGATCATAGTCCATAGCTGAATAACGGAATACTACACAGTATTTATAGCTACATAACGGGATATTGTTTCTGGGTGGAGCCGTCTCATCTCCACCTTGCTATTTTTACCCAATCTCTGGATCATTACTGATATTAAAATGTCATGCATGACCACATTTTTTAACCGAAAACTTCGCGAAATAGGAACTCTTTAATGGACAGAACCCAATAGCAGCGTTTGCCATTTCAAATGCTTGCTAATCTTGCTTTCACGTCTGTCTGCGAAGTTCACAGGCCAAACACGATCCGATTCTTTCACGGGGTGTATATGGAAAATGCCACCCAGCTTCGTTAGGGCTTAAAATATACTGGACGGATTCGAATTTTGTATTTCCTAGTAATGAACTCACCAACAGGCAGTTTCAATCCATCTAGTGGCTTGTGGCGGCTATATCCATATTTAGACAAAAAATGCGTCCGGTATTGGACAGTCCGGTTCGAAGCGAAAGTTTGGTGAGTGGGTGGCATCAAGCACAGAAAGTCTTTTGGCTGTGCCGGTATCACCCGTTTGCCGGATTCTTGTGGTGAGCTTACAGTTATAAGCACAAGACCAAATCGACAGCCTATCGGCTATCGTACAGACACAAGTCTCGAATTATACGCAATACAAGAGTTGCTACATGCATGATATTTCTTTCGATGATGAGAGCTATTACATAACACTTTGGCTACGCTCAGAATCTGTTTTGCTCCCAGCAGAAACGTTTTTGCTTTTTAGCATAACGTAACGACGCAGGCGATTCAGAGATTTCGGCGTCGGTGGCTCGTAGTTTTTGCTCGTCCAGCCTTCAGACACGCTGCGCACTTTTTGCAATCATTTGTGGGCCGGCGCGCAGGCCTGTTATCTGCGAGCTCAGCTGACCCGGCGGCTCCCCAGAGGTCATTTGTCATGGTCTATATGGGTCAGCCCGTTACCTCTGCGAGGTGCTGTCGGCGGGGCCGGGCGCTGTCGGCAGTCTCACGACCGTCGGTGGTCCGTCGGTGCCGCCCCACCCACAGTCCACACCCCTCCCTGGTCCGAGCAGCCACGCCCGCGCGGCCGGAGGCTGCGGCGGCTGGGTACCACCACCCGGCCTTGGTAACACTCTGTGCCGGCGCCGGGACGACCCCCGCGCGCCGCCGGACCGGCCAGCCCGCCGCCGCCGATCGGGCGACGCTGCTCGTCGTCTCGATTGCTGCAGATAGTCGTCGGAAAGAGTTACATCCGGGCTGCCGGGCTGATACGCAACACCCGTCTGCCTCTTACTGGGTGGAGGGCCGTGTGGAGTGCCTCGAGTAGACGCTTGTCTGGCTGGGGCCTCCGATTACTCAGCTAACTTGGGCTGTCAACGACATGCTGAACTGATGTCGGGGCCTCATGAGCCGCATATGGTCACGTTCTGTGCGGACGTGACGAAACCCTTGTCGACGCAGATATGTGACGCTCGCTGTCATCGTGACAGGCCTGTCAGCTGCCGAGTGCTTCAGCTAATGTAGAGTCCAAGGTGCAGTGCATCAGGCCGATAATTGAATTTTGTGACTCTTTGACTCTTGTTCAAAACTTTCACATGCTGTTTTATGGAGCCTTGTTTGCCTTATATAAAGCCTTACCACGTCCATGCCTTACTTATACGTTTGAAATTGTCTGATTACCTAACGCGTAATGCGTGGCTTCTTGCTCTGGTAGAGATCATGAATGGTTGGTTACAAACTGCTGTCATTTTGAACTGAAGTGGTCTGTCAGATACATGACGTATCCTTCTGTCCATTCGCAGTTTTTCCCTGTCCATCCATTTGTCGTGTGTCCGTCTATCCGTCTGTCCGTCTCGGTACGTCGATTCGTCGATCCATCTAAAAACAGACCGCTCCTCACCCAGGAGACCCGTTAGGCGGTCTAAACCAGGACCCGTCCGTAAACCACACGGGTGAAAAGAATCGCGACACGTCCCGCTACGAGTTATGACCGCCATGCCTCTGATCCGATGCCGGCCGGTTTAATTGGCGGCGATGCGCCCGTCGGGACCTACGTGCGAGCACCTGCATGTCAAACCCAGTGGAAGTTATCGCCGGTCAGATCATATGAAAAGTCACGACTTGTCCCCGACAAAAACGAGCTCTTCCGTCATGGAAGAGATTCGCGTGATGGGGAAAGTGAGTGCCCCAGGCTTCCGGCCGGGGCGGTCGCTAACAATAACAGTGGGCGCTGCCCGAAATGCCCGTGGGGGTCAGCCCTCAGCACCCCATCACGATAGACGTTAATCGACTCGAACCTTGGACAGTTGGGTAAGACTGATATTTGTCTTTGGCCAATGTCACCCAACTGATCGATGACAGTCAGCTGATAGATTTGCGCTGCAGTTATTCGATGAAATAATGGCAAAGGCATGCTAGCTGGAATTGAACTTTGAAGTGGTGCCTGCCACTTTCACAACTATATATATCCTATAATGAACGATAAAAATAAGAAAATAAATGACATCATTTAAACTATCAGCAAAGAGTATCCTTCTGAAAAAAAGTTTCCGATATACACTCAGCATTATTCATTAATGCAGTATGTTACCTACCTGCAGAATGGCATTTAACGACCACAGCCAAAACAATTCAGCAGGATAGCATGCCTTACTTCTGGCCCAGTATACCTAAAGTTAAAGCTATGTGAAACACCTAAAACATTTTCAGGCGTCCCCTGGTGCAAGGCGTCCCTGTGCCGTTCTCAGAGGGAACGGTATATTCAAACGGTGCATTGACGTCAATACCGTTGCTGACGATGACATGACTTCAGCGAATGACTCAAACGATTGTTCAACGGGCTTCTTACCTCACCACAATTAGCTTATTGCATCTACAGTTCTCTCTGCATGCGGCTACTGTTCTCACATATTTAATTTCTTTTAGCTCTTTTCTTCGGTACTGTGTGGGCTTTCAGAGCCGAACGGATTTCTAACAATCCTCTTCTCTTTTTCTCTGGCAGGAAAAACGAAGTCGAGCTGTCCAACTCTGTAGTCACGTCCAGCGTTCCATCCGAGCTGCTGCCGGTCAAGGTGGAGGATCCGCACGACTTCTTCGACCTGTGCTCTCTCAACAATGACATAGAGAACGACATGGACGTATCGTCTGATCTGGGCAACTGGATCAACTCACTGGTGAACAAGACGCAGCCGGCCGGCGGCGGCGGCGGCGGCGGTGGTGATGGGGTCATGTGGGACCGTGATGGTGGCGGGCCGGTCACCACACGAGAGGTCAAGGAGTGGCTGTACGAGAACAAGGAAAAGACGTGTGACCCGCTCTGGGGCAGCGACACACAGCAGGTGAAGCAGGTGACTACCACAGACACCGGCAACCGCTCCCCGGACAGTTTCAGCAGTCCCGACACGTTGCTCTTCACCTCAATGATCTCGGACGAGGCCATCAAGCCGGTGAACCCGTCGGACGTCATCAGCTCGTCTGACGACCTCATCACGCTGCAGCCGCTGCAGCCGCTGCAGCCCATGAACCCAGTGCACACGTTGAACGGCTTCCACTCGGACGTCATGATGGGCGACATCAGCGACCCCAAGCAGGTCAACGAGGTCGACCTCGACAAGATGGTGCAGGACTATCTGTATGACGAGGAGCCGGCGCCGCCGCAGACCAAGCTGGAGGAGATGCCGGCGACGACCATCATAGGAGCAGGGGGAACGCCTATACGGATATGCGGTTTGCCCCCCTCCAGCATGAGCACATTCCCAGCCACTTCTGTGGCACAAAACGGCGGCTTCAAGATCGCTGTTGGCACTCTGCCGCCCGGTTCGCCCGAGAAACCGACCGAGAAGAGCGGTCTGGAGGAGAAGTGGGGCAGCAACCGCTCCGACAACGCCTCCATCCTGGAGAGTGCGCTTCGGGGAAACATCCCCTCCGGTCAGCGGAACAGCAATACCAGCAACCCGCAGAAGCGCGCAGGAAGCACCGACCTAAAGGAGATCCAGCTCTCGTTCCCGGTCGGTGGCTTCCAGACTTTTCAGCGGAGCATGATGGAGAATAGCGGCGGCAGCAACGCCGTCACCTCCTCTCCGTACACGTGTGAGACCAACCAGGCGACGAGCTCCTGCAGTCCCAACAAGCCGGACAAGGTGCTCTCCTCGGCCGACACGTCGCACGATCTCTACGTCAACACCATCGACATCGGCATGTCCAACGGCCACGTCGTCATGGGTCAGAAGAAGGACCAGCCGCGTAAACGCAAGTACTCAAAGCGCACCACTGCCGACGGGGAGGCGCCACCGTCCCGGGGGCGTCTCCTCCACTTCTGCCACATCTGCAACAAGGGATTCAAGGACAAGTACTCTGTGACCGTGCACATCCGCACCCACACCGGCGAAAAGCCGTTCCAGTGTGACCTGTGCAACAAGTGCTTCCGTCAGAAGGCCCACCTCGCCAAACACATACAGATTCATACCACACCCAAACCGGCGCCGGCCAAAAGGTAAACAGCGCAACGAAGAGAGGATTCCGATCTGGTTACCAAGGTGATGAGTTACCGTTACCATGGTGATGAGTTACCATAAACCCAAGTGCTACCGTAGTGCAGCCAGCTCAGGAACTTTGCGCTGCCCTAGAACTGTGATGTTGTTATCTTCCAGGAGAAAGAATCATCTCCTTGTAATCGTTCTTTTGTTCTTGTTATGAATGAGTGCGGTCGTGTTGGTTCTCATATTCTCAAAGTGAGGTTCTCAGCGAATCGGCTATCGTAGTTCGAGCGATCATGAGGGCAGTGGTGAAGAGTGAGAGGATGTTGCGGCTCTCAACATCTCAGACGTGCAGGGGAGCATCTTCAGACATAGGCACGTTACAGACACCTGCGTTCTTCTTAGTTCGTTCGGCGAAGTGCGGCACAGTGCTGTCTGCCCTCCCCGTCAAGGTTTCGGGGGTCGTGAGCACACTGTTCACCCGCAGTCGTCTCGGATGTGTGGCACCGGGGTCCGCCAGAGTGAGCACCTTCAAGTGAATCACGGTGTGCACCGGCGGAGCGGATAGTACAAACCCGGAGACAGGCAGGCGGATCGTTATCCTATTTATTTCGCCTCTCCAGTGACGGTGAGGTCGGCGTGGTGCATCGAGACGGCCGGGTGGCGGAGCTACCGACCCGGTCCGTTCTCGCGCGCCCGACCCCGCCGCTCCGTGCTGGCAGGCGGGTTGTGGGCCGTTCTCTCGGCAGTTGTGATTCAGGTGCGGAGAAGAGGTGCGCACGTGCGATGGTGCGCTGGTGTTTTTCTGATCTGCTAAGCGAGTGAAGCAGGTGTGTGCACGGCTGTTTTGAGTGGTTGTCGCATCTTACGAGGTGATGGTGGATATTTATATCAGCGGCGTGTCTGGCCGTTTTTACCCTGTAAATTATTAGAGATTTCTGTCTCAAAGTAGTGAAATGTTTGTGTGTCTTACTGTTGAGTGGTTTCTATTGCTGTTGTGAGCACGGACTGTTCGAGAGTGGAACATTAACGTGTGTACAGATGACGAACTCTTCCCTGAAATGTGCAATAAGACTACATACTTTTTCGTGTACATGCAGCTTTTTGCTGATCATTCCTAATTTTGACAATTCCATTAACTTCTTGTTCCTGTTAAGTTCCATTAACTGTTACAGATAACACGCTAATGCTCCCGTAGCTGTGTGGTTCTACGCATGTGTTGTGATGTGTCCTGGTTCTTGTATGTTGTGTGATTATTTTGTCTGAAGTGTCGTCTCAGACAGCGTACTCTGCCGGCTCGCAGACACCTATCAGACGCCGTGCGGTGTCTGCTGAGAAAGCCGGAAACGTTACCATTATTGTACAGTTGTTGTGTGCTGCGGTAGCTGATACTCCGAGTTGTGTTGTTGTACGTTCACACCAGTGATCCTTTATCCCGTTGAATGACCGAGGCGCCTTTATCATTACTCTAACGACGTCGCTGCAGGAGAAAAGGCTGGTACCCTACTTAAGTATATGGATATGACGGACAGCCTTAGCTTTTTTTTACTTTTTCCCCCACAATCCTGTGACACCAGTCCGCTACGTAGAGTTGACTGTCCTTTTAAATTTTAAATGACCTCTATTGTTTGATGTGGCCTGTGCGTACCCGGATATTATTTAATTGTGCGGCGTACACATTTTCAATGTTACCAGCCGTTTCATACACTGGTCAAGTCGACCAGTCCTGTTATATAGGTAGTAGTCAACCTGCTCGTTATTGGCGTAACAGTTAGCTTGAGCTTTCCGAACAACATCCAGTGCATTTCCAGGCGCCTCGCCGGAGCGAAGGCTTAGCGTGAAGTGCGTATCCTTACGACTCTCTCTGGAATTCGTGTGTTACGTCCACATCGCACCATGTTACGACTTCGAATAAACCATGAGCAAACTGTTTCTGTTTATGAAATAACTAATGCAACAAATGTATCACGAAGCATCCAATTAAGGACGTACACCGCTGCAACGAAAGTAAGCCTCACATTTTTAATTGCAAGTGAAACTTTGATTTATCACTATAGCAGCACCCAGCCCTTACATAACAACAGGCCCTACTAATTTAACACCCTTGTCAACGCCGTAGTAAGCCTAGCCCACACCCTCAGAATCTCTCTCCCGCTTCTTGATAGAGAAAACGGTTTCCATACCAAAAGCCTCGCTCAAATCGCTCCGCGTCGGATAGGATTAGCGGCCGTCGATCCGGTTCTACACGCCTGATGGACGCGTATGGCGACACCCCGCCGGTAAGTGTTTTACACGGCGCCGTAAGGACGGTTCGCACCGCTCCGAGACGCGCAGTGACGTCAGCACGGTCTGTGTGTGACGTCAGTGTCCCAGTTGTGCCGTCTCGGCGGGGGTGGACCGACGGTGGTGTGGGTCAGTCGGCTGGGGCCGGCCACCGCCGTCTCGCGGACCCGCTGTTGCATCATCCACTGTATAACGGTGCCGTCTGGGCTCCAGGCAAGGAGGGGAGGGGGGAGGGGTGACCCGCTGACTTTTCCCCTCGACCGTCTATTGAGGTGGAACTGCAGTGCATAGGCCAAGACTGTCTTACCACCCATGCAACCCCGTATCCCTTCGACGTCTTACTTCTTACGTCTTACTAACGACGTCTTACTTCTCAACCCTGACCGCGCTTATGGAGATGACCGACTAACCGACAGACATCAAATGCCAGACAAAGGAACACGTCATCTAAAACAGTCAGCTATGACTGATCCGTCATTAACGAAGACAGGTAACGGCTCGTCTGCTGGAGAGATCACGGATCCCTGCTGGGTGCTGATGGGTACCGATAGCCCCTCAGCTGTGACCCCTCTGACAGGTCACAGATCACTAATGACCGACCATAGGTCAAAGGTTAAAGGTCTCCAGCTCATGGCCCTCCTGTCCAGAAGGCCCCGGAGAGCGGGCGAAGGGCCAGTTGTCCCCGCAAAAACTTCACCGGTAATGCTAGCATGAAAGGCTTGTCAGTTGCGACTTGCGAGTGAGGCTAGAGACGACCCTGCGTTATCTTCATCCCTCGGTATGCAGTATGCACTTTCGGCGTCATACTCGTTCCGAATATATAGGTCGTCTTGTTTTCGAGCAAGCGTGGGATGGAAACGTTAAGGGAAACTTTTAAGGGCATTTTAAGGTGTCTTCGTTGTCAGATATTCACAGCCCGATATAAACAAAATTTCACGCATTTTCCCGTGTTTGCGGTACTTGGTAGTCTATTCAGATCCCCCTAGCCCCATCTTTCCAAGTTGCTCCAGCTCTCGTCTCATGCACTCCAGTGTAGCCTCCCACTCAATCCCGTCCACCCCAGCAGCTCCCCACTCATTCCCCTCCACCCCAGCAGCTCCCCACTCATTCCCCTCCACCCCAGCAGCTCCTCACTCATTCCCCTCCACCCTAGCAGCTCCCCACTCAGCCCCGTCCACCCGAGCAGCTCCCTACACATGGCTCGCCAGCCCGTCCCGGCGCGCGGCTCCGATATGAAAAGCGAAACCTGCCCACGGGCAGCGTCATTACTTTTGCTTTCGACCACGCTCGGAGACAAGTGAAACCGAGCTGCGCGCGCCGCCCGCCTCGGGCGTGTTTTTGTCCCGCCGAGCCGGCCAGCCGCCGCGAGTTTCTCCTTCGACGGAGCGGCCGGCGCGGCGGCGGTGGTGGCGCGCACGGCGAGGTGCGCCACGGGACCGCGCGGCCGCCCGGTCTGCTAGCTGCTCCCAGAATAGCTCTCAGAGCTCATCAGAGGACAATCGTGAGGAGAGCAGTAGTATCACGACAGCGGTGACCGATCAGCAGGTCACTATCAGTTGCCGTGCAGAAGGTGGGCGCAGGCGCGTCTATATGAATCCAGAAATCGGCGGCTTTCACCGCGCTGCCGAGGGACCGGTCAGGTCAGCCGGAGTGCGCCGCTGGACTTTCGCGCAAAACCCGGCGCCAGCACGGGGCAGGGCGGACTGGCCAGCCCGTGCGCCGCTTATCAGGCACTCACTCTCACTCAGTGCACGGGTTTCTACTGTGCAGCGTATCTGCACTGCCCTAGATTCGGCTAAGGGCCGGCCCGCCCCGGCCGGACCACTACATTAAGGACGGTAGGTGAGGCCTTAATTGGCGAAGCACTTAGCGTGCACGTTTGATGTGGAACTTCCCGTGAGACAAAGCTGTAGCCTATAATCATTACTGACTCTCACTGTCGTTTACTTCTAGTCTTTGAATGTATTTAGTTTGACCGACGTAATGAGTGTGTGGGAGCTTCTGTTCAACAGCAGCTTTTGATATAAATAGGTTATTGTGTAGCATCTTTTGTTAGTAGGTATTGCATGGACAATTTACCGTAAACGTTTTAACAAATTGAGCCAACAAATGAATGTAATAAATATTAGTGGGGCCGTGAAATATATGCTAGGACATGTAAGGATAATCATAAACATAAGATACGAATGCATATTTGACTGAGAGCCGTCTTCCTCCGGCAGCCTAGACAATCACACAGGGTTTTTGAATGTGAGCGGCACGCCATTCTGAGTCTGACTATGTAGACCCACACTCTAACGGGCCCCGGTCGAACAGAGCTACGCAATAGAATCTCGCTTTGCTCCATACGGCGCTCAGGTCTGCTTACCATGGGCCCTACCCTTGTGACCTTTGACCTGTGACCTGCCCCCAGGCCTGGGGTGGGCTCTACTGACTAAATAGGCATCTCCAGACTGTGTTGGGACCCTCGAAATACGAGTAACTATAATCATTATTCAAATTGGTATCATCCTGTATGCAATCCTGGGACTGACGCACGTAAAGCCTACGATAGGATAACTAAGGATTTGGTGCATATGCTGGACTCCTTAGCAGCATGTGTAGGCTTGGTGTTAATTTTATATGGCTACTTGGGGTCCAAATGTGACCTGGCGGCTCTCAATCATCATTTCAACTAATTTAAAAGTGGCTTTCGGACACCTTGGAATTTCAACTGCACTGCAAAAGGCATTGAACCAACATCGCGGGCCCACTAAGGTCAGGCTATGGCCGATTAAGTGGGCACCTGAATCTTATAAGGAGGGACCACGGGCCCGTTTGTCACCCGTCTTTGCGTGCACTCTTACAAGGTGAAACTAGCACGTCAAATACTCTGCTAAGCTAGCCTTCAGATATCCACACGCCTACCATTTGAACGATGCCAGTCGAGGGATCAGTCATCTCTAAGGTCTGTAGGCATTGCACCCGCTGCAGCTCGGGCCTCACACCAAAACAGTGTCTCCCTCTAGTGCCGCGTTCAGCGCCCTCTGTTGAGTGAGTGTGGTACCTACCCAGGGCCAAGAAGGTGAACTTACAATGTTTCAGCCTATTGGTCTCTAGACGTAAAGTTTGTAATGAGTGTTTCAGCTTGCATCTAGCCCTCGCATGTGTAGGGGGGGTCCAGGGGGGTCGGAGGGACCCTTCCCATGGTTTTACGCGAAAAACTCGCGTAAAAGCGGTCGATCGCGACGAAACTTTCAGTACCCTCGCATTTATCAATTTTACACCTACCCTGAAAATTTCACGACCCTGACCCAAATGACCTTTGACCTGTGACCTCTTTTCCGAGACCATGTTTGGCCGGAATCGCGATTCCGCGTATGTCGGCTCGCATTAGCCTCGCGTTTGCAAGCTTTTCGTGGTTTCAAACGTTCAAACATGTGGTTTGATGTTGCTCTCATGCATTAGGGTGGGTCTCAAGGTCACCTGAAGGTCAGGTCAGGTCATTGACCTTTGGTGACCTCGGTTCACTTTTTCGAGTTTTACATGTTTCTAGGCTAGTTTTTGGAGCTGAATTCGAATTTAGCAACAATTTGAACATTTACGAAGTAGTTTTGGTGGCTTCGTAACATGTTACGAAGCTGTCAGAGGCGGTTGACACGTACTACGAATACCCGTCACGACGCCTACTGGTTGACCTGACCTGACCTGACCCGACCTGGTCTAAATGCTTAAAGACATCATCTGTGATCAAAACTAACACGATATTCGTGATCAGCACCCCGAAAAACCCTTTAGAAGCCACACTTTACGACTTTCAAACAGGTCCCGATTTTCCCGACTTTGGGTCATTGACCTGACCTGGAAAGTCAACCAATGGCCTAGGACCTTAAAATTGGGTATCATCAGCCTCCTCTCGTCACGGGCAACACGCTCGTTTTTTTCCGCGAAGCTCTAGCTCGATCAGGGGCCAAACGGCAAGGGGGGTCCAACCGACCCCCCCCCCCCTACACATTAGAAGCTGGCAAACGCCGCACACATGCGAGGGCTAGGTCAATATACGAGGAACTGATGACCTCACCTGAAATGACGTGCAGGTTTCAACTGTAGCGACGGCCACCCGCTCCAGGATGAATGTGTTCATACGTAACAGGTCTTTATCGTCGATACTGAGGGGCAGAGCATAGGTAGGTATTAATAGGGATTGAAAGGAGCACAGAAACCGATTTTTAACAAAACAGAGAGGCAAGAGACATCGTGCACCTTTTTAACGTCAATCACTAATCAGGTTATCGGAACATCACTACATTCCACAGTTTCGCCTTAGGCAACACGTGGGGCTCAAAATTTAAACAGTTTGACATAACGAATGACAATGAACAGAGTTTTTAAGTCATATCACCTTCCAACAAGCAACATACCTCGCACGACATCAAAGACCCGTTCCATACCACATTATTGTCGCCCGGCCGTACCTGAAGCAGGCGATATGCCATAAAGGCTAAAACATGAGCATCGGTTTATAACCGATTGGCAACCAAATGACACAAATCAAGACGCAATAAGTTCCGTATCAAATCTGCACTACGTTTCGTTACCGTTTCACGTTTGACTCACCGGCGGCAGCGGAGCACTCCAGCACAAAGCCATACACGCCACCCGCACACCAGCCTCGTCCAGGATTATCTGCGCCATCCGCGCGACCCGAGTTGACCCGAGTCGCCGATCACCGCGACCCACCCCGCGCATGAACACATGCCGTGTCACAAAACGTGCAGCGTTCAGCATACGCGAAACTGCCAAACGATCGTTACTTAAATGCCCTGAGTTTTCCTTCATAAACTGTACAAACAATTCGGCTCTTCCGGTTATAAAAACTTTAGATACTAGCACCTTTGTAGTTTCTAACAAGTCACCAAACTATGGCGACATCTGCTGAGGTAAGTCGCTATCACGCTTGTTCGGTTCCCGGTCCGTCTTGGCGTCGATCCAAAAAGGCGCACGGAGGGATAAGAAGGAAATAATGTTGGAACAAAAAAAAAAAGAGTATGGGAAGAATAAAGTAAACAAGAGCGCTGCGCTAATGCAAACTTTGAACATGGCGTCCAAAATTAATATGTGTTCAGGAAAGCTACCTGGTACTACTTTTTCTATACGTAAAAAAAAACAAAAAAAACTATTTAAGGGTCTTCAGAATAACCCATAATCAAAACCAAACCTTTGATAGGGCAAAAGTAAACGGGAAGCTATAGTAAGGAACATAAAAATTGGCCCAAAGAGTGAACGTCTTATATATTACAAAACCGAAAACATCGATGAACAACGCGGGCTACATTTAAAAATACTATATACATTCATATCAAACAAGAAGTATTTAAGCTAACGTTTTTAAATGCATCTTTAATACTGTAAATAAGCAATGCTACGTATTTATGCGTTGCTTGCAAAAGTCACTGCGAGTTATAACAATGCGATATTCATAAAGAGAACATGCGAATGAAACAATAACATATGTATATATTACACAAACTTATGTTTGCGTGCTGCACACGTAAGTGAAAATAAATGTAGGTATACATACAACCATATAGGTAACATGAATCATGCTATCTAGGTATGCTTCAACACATGCACCATGTTTATACAACCATGCAAGCGAACTTCTTGTTGTAGTACAAATGCAAAACGAAATACTGCACCTATAACTACTGCATTATAAGCATGGAAAACAGCTTTATCTATCACTTATGACCTGAAAGTGACTTTAAAGTAATGAATTTGCCGAAGTTCTTTTTTATACACCATACCTGCAATGACGAATTTAAGTATTTATCTTGCGACAGTTGCCCGGCATAGGCAAAATTACACACTCATACAAATAAACAGTCACAAAAAAACGATAATTCGGCGACTGAATAAATCACGTACCCAGCCAATAAGATTAATGTGACACATAGCATCGAGTAGAGGGACGGTTATCAAGCTCATGCCAGTGCCTAAAAATTGATCAACATTGAAGACCTAATTTGCAACGTTTAAAACAAAACTATCAGGTACTTTAGTAAAATCATCACGATTAGGTATATGTATAACTAAAAGAGCATTCACCTCGATCGGGTAAGCAAAAACAGTTCGTATAAAATAACGCCCATTTTTTAGCAAATGCCGTCAAAATTTTTGCTTTGTCAGCATGCTAAATGTCTTCCAATGAAGTTATTTCACCATTTCCTTTATAAGCATCCCGTTTTCTACGGCATCGCGATTATCATAGCCCCACAGAACACCTCACAAGTCTCCAGCCCTCGACCAGAGCGCCATCTAGTATGTAGTTTCGCTTTCGTCCGCTGCGCGGCGCCTCCGTCCCAACAGGCCCAGCGCTCCGTTATTGTTCCGGTTGTGGCCGTCGTCGGAGCGAGTGGTGCTGTACAGAGGCAGGCGAGCGTGACTTGACGACTTGAACTTGTCCCGGGCCGCGTCATACAGGAACGAGTCGAACTGCAACGAAACGAGGAGGCTTTAAATGAGAAGAAAAAAAAACGAGCAAGGATAGGCAAATGGCACCGTTAAAAATCCTTTAGGGATTAAAGGAAATAGTTCACTTTCACGAAATTATTTTTTTTTGCAACGATTTATGATTTTTATGTTCAAAATAATCAGCAAAGAAAATAAAACCTTTTTATAACAAAAGATTTTTTTTCTATATTTTGATATAGGAAGAACTTTTCAGTTTCTGTAAGGCACACGCGATCCAGTATGAAAAGAGCATGGGTCCCGAAAATTCTTCAGAAACAGAGAAATTATCGCAGCCACCGGCATTTGGGCGATCTGCTCGATCTGATAATGTTCCCCTGAATGTCCTAATTGATCAGTACGAGAATTTCTCTAGAGTTCTCGTAGATAATTTCTCTAGTTTCTGAAGAATTTTCGGGACCCATGCTCTTTTCATACTGGATGGAAATATATGCAAGGCACACATCCTCAACGCAAGACACCTTTTCCGGGACGAGAAATAGAATATCTTTGCCTAGGGTGATCGTTGGGCTGTAAAAGCTCCTGATTTATGCTCGTCTCAGCCCAAGCTACGGAACTGCTATTCCAGTTCAAAACCCATGTTAAAAAGTGAACTATTTCCTTTAATTGACATGTACCTAAATATGACTACCCCACGTCGGGTGGCAGAAACCCAGCTTTCATCAAAGTGAAGGCTGTAGCTGGGTCTACCAGAGTGTGAAAACTGACCTGGAACAGGTTATGTAGCGCTGTGTTTGCCCGGTCCGTGTCAGAGGTGGTAACGTTTCCACGGTAACGCAGCGAGGCCATCAGGGGACTGCGGATACAAGAACAGACAATGTTTGGTTAGCAGAACTGTCCGATCAGAGACAGAAAACCATAAGTCAGCAGCTTTGCTTCGTTATTCAAGGCTCTATGCACCTCTGAATCAAGAGCAATATCAAGAGTACTACACATTCTGCAATATCGTATCCTTGCCAAATGCACCAAGTGTATACAGACCATCCGAGGACGAAGTCGGCCATGTCTGCCCCGATGTAGGAGATTTGTGTGACGGTGTCCATCTGAATCGGAGGAATCTCCGTGGCCAGCGATCGGACCGCGAACCGGCTCTCGTAGAAGTTGACACGGTATATCAGCGGTCCCAGAAGCCACCGACCGCGTACCTAGGGATAGACAGGTCAGTACAGAGGTCAGCAGGTCACTTGAGGTCGGTGGCCGCGTACCTGGAGATAGACAGGTCAGTACAGAGGTTAGCAGGTCACCTGACGTCAGTGGTGCTGGAAAGTGGAAAGGGAACAGGACATTTGAGAGATCACCTCTGTTTAACGATCGCTCATCCTGAAACCTATATACTCTTATCGCACCTGTTAAGAAGTGTCACAATTAAGAACTTAATGGGGTCAATGCGCAAAGCGGTAAAGGTGAGACAACTGTGTGGGCCACTGAACAGCTGCGATCTGGCACGTGCACACATTTGCACCGGTCATCTCACCACAGCATAACGTCTCGCTCTGTCGGCGCCGGGTAAAGTCCGTTACACCATAAATTATCTCCGCCTGAGAAATGGCTACACACGGTGACCGTTTGTGTGCACAGGCCTGCTGTGAGGTGTGACCGGGATGGGAGAATGCGCGGCTCTGCGCGGCTCTGACGAGGCCTGCCAGAACCGCTACTTCCGCCAAACCTCAGCTGGCGGTCAACGCGAGCCAGAGTCGCGAAACCGACTTCGCGGAGATGCCGCAGTGGCGGCAATAGACAACCGATGCTCTACGTCACCTTTATGGCCCGTAGGCCGTAATCTATCATTTAAGTCGAAGAAGGTAAATTGTCTTTAGCATATCGTATTATTTTTAAAATGACAGATGTCTCTCATCATTCACGTAACCTCTTTCCTGCATCCATCTCATCTTACGAGACATCCTGACCTGTCAATATGGGTCAGGCTGACCTGTCAATACGGGTCAGACCGACCCGTGGCCAGGTCAGGCACCAGAGCGTGACACATATACCAGCCATATCTCCCGTCCACCGGGACACGCTGCCACTGAGCCGGGCTGACCTCGGCGGGTCACGTGGTCAGCTCCGTAGCCGGCCCACGCGGTCACGTGGTTCACACTGCACGGTTGGCTGGCCACCGCCGCGCCGGGGCCGGTGGTTAAACGGTGCCGATGTTGGTTTGGCGGCCCAGCTCGGCCTCACCTGTGCACGACGGCGGAGTCGGCCAACACACGTGCGGGTATCATAGAGGTACAGGTGCACCGAGCATAATTAGGTGGTGCAGATGTTTGTTATGGGTTAAACATGCCACTCCAGGTAGACGATATATTTAAATATCTTAGGTGTCAGTGATCTCTCAAAGGTCTGGGGAAACCCTGAGTGACGTCAAACGTACGGGTTCTGCAGGTTGCAACTACTGAAACGAGGCAGAAGTAGCTCGAAGGCATTGGATGATGAATCGCTCACGGAGTCACGTCGTCTTTCACTCCGAGAAAGTTTCGGCTCGGCACGGACGATATACCGGAGAAATGGACTGGAAAATTAGCTGCTGCACGTTTGAGTGCTGCACTTGAACGAAAACGTGACCTGAAAAGAGCTATTTCCTGATGGCTCTATTGTTACGAATAAGTCATTACGGTTCAACGATGATGTCGGGACGTTTACTCTCAGGGTTTTAGTGTACCTTGAAGTGTTTTGCAATGAGTTCAGATGAACACAGTGAGAGTGCGGCTCACCAATGTGATGTTGGAAGCCACCTGGACCTCGACGTCTCCCCTCCTGTTGATGTTGGTCAGGCCCTCCAGTAGAGCGGTGGAGTAGGCACGCGTCGGCGCCAGCCTGGGAGCGACAGAGAAAAAGAGAAAATGATGACAAAGGCAAGTAAATACAGCACAGATTTCAGAGAGCTAATGGTAATATCCCTATCGCTGACGTTTCTTGTTCACGGTGACATCAGCACAACGATCATTTCAGTCTAACCGCCATATCATCTCGCCAGCACGCTATATCAACAGTCATAATAAAGCTCAGTTTAGTGGCATTCAAATAATTCATGCTGTCTTTCTATCGTTACACTCAGCCAACTGTACTTGACCTACTGTAGCCTCAAGTCACTGTCCTAGCCATAGTGGTAATTTCGTCCCATCTCTCTCTCTCTCTCTCTCTCTCTCTCTCTCTCTCTCTCTCTCTCTCTCTCTCTCTCTCTCTCTCTCTCTCTCTCTCTCTCTCTCTCTCTCTCTCTCTCTCTCTCTCTCTCTCTCTCTCTCTCTCTCTCTCTCTCTCTCTCTCTCTCTCTCTCTCTCTCTCTCTCTCTCTCTCTCTCTCTCTCTCTCTCTCTCCTCTCTCTCTCTCTCCTCTCTCTCTCTCTCTCTCTCTCTCTCTCTCTCTCTCTCTCTCTCTCTCTCTCTCTCTCTCTCTCTCTCTCTCTCTCTCTCTCTCTCTCTCTCTCTCTCTCTCTCTCTCTCTCTCTCTCTCTCTCTCTCTCTCTCTCTCTCTCTCTCTCTCTCTCTCTCTCTCTCTCTCTCTCTCTCTCTCTCTCTCTCTCTCTCTCTCTCTCTCTCTCTCTCTCTCTCTCTCTCTCTCTCTCTCTCTCTCTCTCTCTCTCTCTCTCTCTCTCTCTCTCTCTCTCTCTCTCTCTCTCTCTCTCTCTCTCTCTCTCTCTCTCTCTCTCTCTCTCTCTCTCTCTCTCTCTCTCTCTCTCTCTCTCTCTCTCTCTCTCTCTCTCTCTCTCCTCTCTCTCTCTCTCTCTCTCTCTCTCTCTCTCTCTCTCTCTCTCTCTCTCTCTCTCTCTCTCTCTCTCTCTCTCTCTCTCTCTCTCTCTCTCTCTCTCTCTCTCTCTCTCTCTCTCTCTCTCTCTCTCTCTCTCTCTCTCTCTCTCTCTCTCTCTCTCTCTCTCTCTCTCTCTCTCTCTCTCTCTCTCTCTCTCTCTCTCTCTCTCTCTCTCTCTCTCTCTCTCTCTCTCTCTCTCTCTCTCTCTCTCTCTCTCTCTCTCTCTCTCTCTCTCTCTCTCTCTCTCTCTCTCTCTCTCTCACTTCGTGCGTAACTCACTGTCGTTTGCTCCTGTGGCGGCCCGTAGACGCGTCCCGCCGACCTCTGGCCACCACTCCGTCACTCTCTGTGCCCATCAGACGGGCCAGCGGGTCCGTCACCGCCGTGATACCCACCCCGTTATTGGAGTTGTCCCGGCCGTGCACGTTCTCATGGGCTCTGGGGAGAACACAAAATTGAGGCATGATGCATTTTGACATCGATGATTCAAAGATACTTTAAGAGCAATGTTGATATTTATTAGCAAATCAACCAGAAAAGTTGATAGAAATAACATCAAGCTCTGTTATCGCAATCCAATATGATTTATCTGTGAATCATGTGAACACAACTCATTCATTTATTGCTAGCCCACGTGACTCCGCCACGCCTGTGAACTATAGTCCACGTGACTGCACGGAGCCCTCCGCGTATAACCCACGTGACTGAGCACTACCCATTGCCTAAAACCCACGTGACTGATCCTCGGCCGTTGACGCGGAAGTAGACGGGGTCCAGGTTGTCGGCGCGCAGCTCGGCCACCATGTTGGTGATGATGCCGTCAGCGAACGTGTTGAAACGAGCGTCCGGGATGTACAGGCCCTGGTAGATGATGCTCGGACCTGAAACAGGACTCTGGTTACAGCTTAAACTGGACGGGAAATAAATGGTCAATAAAATGTTGTTACAAGAAGTATTTAACAACATATTGCTATGCCAATCATAGAAGAGTTCTTATGACAAGGAAGACTCCCACAGATTGTAGAAAAGACGGCTGGTGCCGGCACGGTGTCAGTGACTGGAATTCAAATTTAAAATCGAATTTCACTTTCTTGAGAAACATTACTCACAGAATAAGAAAGAAAGCTCGAACTTATCATGCCTACTTTTATTTAAACTATAAGGGTGTCAATTTAATATCTGAATGCATGCGTCCCTTCTCACCATTTCTGCCTGGGTAGAGGTTCTGATTTCTGTTCCTCCGCCGGTTCCCTCCAAACAGTTGTCTCTTGTCTCGGTGATGTGTCTCCTGTGTGGTTTCGTCCAGTCTCTCCTCCCTGCTCAGGCGCAGCGCCTCCTCTAACGACTCCAGTTGAAAATCACTAACATCAGCTGTGGTAGCCGATAAAAGGAGTACCAGAATTGCCAGCAGCAGCGTCCTCACTCTCGGCACCAGGCGCATGACGGTAATCGCTCTGTGAACAGATGAGAGAGATAGCAACATACTCAGTGATAGTTATTGGGTGTGAGCATGCACTGCTTAGGTATTGATCGAAGTCTAATACCTAAATATTTTTACCACCAACGCTAACAACTGAACAGTGAACAGCAGCAAATTGTAGGCATTTGTCAGCTTGAAAATTTGAAGTCTTGACTAAAAAATCAGATTTGCTATCGCCGTGGAAATTTGGAATCTTTGCATTAAAGAAACAATTGTTGGTTGGGGTCACTAAATCAGTCAAACATTTTGATTTTAAGACAATTTCATGATTACTATGTGTGGAAGACATTATCGTGTATATTTTGCGTGATCCTGCCCTAATTCTAGCAATTTACAGCAAGCGATTCAATAAATAAGCATGCGAATAGCCCGGCACGGGAGACTGCAGCGCCGGCTGTGTGGCTATCCTCCCGCCCGCCGGCGACTGCAGTCTCGCACACGCCACTAACACCAGCTGCAGTCGCCGCCCGGCGGGAACCCTCATGTCGCCTCCTCCGCCCCGCCCGAAGGCTGTTCACGGGCCCTGAGTGCGGTTGGATCATACACAGCCTCCAAGCTCCGCCCACTGCGTCCCTACGTCAGCCTTGCGTCACCGCACACAGCGACCGCTGTGGCCGGTCGGGACTGGCCACAGCGGACCGTCCACCGCACGCAGCCGTGACGTCAGAGCCGCCTACCCATCCCCTACCCCCACGCCTGCTGCACACACCGCACACAGCGCACTCAGCAGTTTGCGGTGCCCATGAACACCCCTCCGGCTCATGCCCTCACGATCTCGGGAGTATAACGGGCTGGTGCTCTCCCCACACCCTGTAGCAAGGGTCAGAGTTACATTCGACACGCATGGCTACCCTCGCTGCTTCTCCATGTCGGTCGGTCAGCTGCCGATTTGCATACGCGTCGGAAGAAATCTGCATCGGTAATTCAGTGGGTGGGCTGGAGTTAGCGGAGCGTAGAAAGGTGGCCATCTAGACGGATAGATGCTTGAATAAACAAGCCCATTGTGATCCGTTTCGATAATTTACAGGTAAATGATTAATTGGCACCTGGTTCTAAAGGCACTGAACGGAGTTTAAGCCTTTAGTAATCGCCATAAATTTGGTAGTGCCTGTGACAATGATGCAATATTCTTATCACCTACTTTTTATGGTATAAACATTAAAATCTAACAAAACACTGCGTGGTTCTGGAGCGTGTCGGTGGAATTACGTAATCGCGACAAATATTATTCATTGCTGCCTGTACATTTTATCGGAACGCTGCCATTTCTCACGGAGTTCCCACCAGCCACCTCACAGGTCACCAAACGCCACCTCAATCCTCCCCAACTACCTCTCTGTCAGGAAGTGTGACACCAGTCAGCGAGACGGCGTTGTCACGCTGGGGCGGCCCGGACGATTTGCTCAGTCACCGCTGTGGGCCGGTCTGTGACCTGGTGACACGACAGTCCGTGACTGGTGTCTCCGCCGCCCATCGAGTCAGTTCCTGTGATCTTCTTCGCACCACGAGTTCACTCGGAGATCAATGGGCGGGCGTAGAAGTCACCACTGAAGCTACGTCAGCTCCCGAATCGCTTTGGCAGTCATCTTTGTGACGTGTGTGAATGCATCGCCAAACAAATATATTTTTTCATGCTACATATAAAAGGGTGACACATATTTACACACAGTTCTCACGCGCGTGCGTCTGTGCGACGGTGTGTGACGCGATCGCGTTACGGTCTGTCACCTATGTGTGCCCTATCGTGACGCACTGGTTGGAGCCCAGGCTGCCCATTTCTGCGCGGATTTGCGGCAATTTGGGACGGAGGTCCGGGTCGACGCGACAAGTCGTGACCGTAGAGCAGGTCGGCCGAAACGAACGACAGTCAGCGATGGAGAGTGAGGAGGGCGGTCAAAACTGGGTTAGTGGGCGATGCGCGGAGATATTTGGTTCGATCTTGCTTTGAGGCGTCCACGATTTGTCAAAGTAAAGAACCGCTCTCACGCTCCCATACTAAGGGGAGTTTTTGCGGAAGCCTCCGCCACCCTCGCTACGCCACGCTCGGCTCTTTCGTCACTTTCGTAGACATGATGGTGGCGTTCATTTCACGCATCTCATCTGCACATGTGTACAACTTTGAGTGCTGTATGTATGTAATAATAGCCGTTTTCACGACGGGCTCTCTGGCGAATGCACCTTTTTTAACCAAATCTGCACTAAATCTTTTTTACAGTAAATATCTCCGCATCATGAATTTATTTCAGTGTTTTAATGGAAAATTATGTCTGATTATGTGAAAAATGAGGCAGATAAGCATCTGTGCAGTCCAACTTCATAACTTTTTAAGGAACACACTGAACATATTAGCCGTTTTCCTAACGGGCTATCCGGCGAATGCACCTAATTTGACCAAATCTGCACCTAATCTCGTTTATCCCGCGCATGACTGGGGTATTTTCCATAACGCGAGTGACTGGGGGGGGGGGGGGGGGCTCTCCAGAGCCCTCCCCCCTCCTATCTCCGAAACTACTGAGCCGATCGTCAAAATTCAAACGGCGTCTGATAGCCCTGGAAAAACTGTCGGGCGAAACCTATTTTCATTGACCTCGAGGTCACTGATGATGTCACAGGACAGGTCAAAGTAAAAATTATCGACATTTTTGTTAGTTCACAATTTAGGCTCTGACCGCCGGACCGCCGGTCCGATCAGGCTCATTTTTGGTTTACGCACTCCTTGCCGGATGCCTTAGATACCCTGAGGGTACCGAACATTTACTTTGAATTTTTAAGGTCAAGGCCAGGTCATCCTAGGTCACGAAAATTGTATATCATGTATCGGTCACGTGACGCATGTTTTATGGTCCATTTTACTCGTAGATTTTGAAAATAGTGTCGTCTGTGTCATTTGAGGTCATTGTCAGCTGAATTTACCGGAGGTCAGGTCACTCTCAGGTCAGAAAAGGTCAAATTTTGAAAATGACATTTTTCAACAAAAAAAAAGGTGCCTATCAGATGCAGTTTGAGCTCAGGAACACGATGGTGCCATTTATATTGCTGTACAACGTCAAAACGTACTGAAAAATGGATTTGAAAAAAAATTGTAAAATTTTGACAATAATGCGAATAACTTAGCTATTTTTGAAGATATTAGGCTAAAACTTGCAAATGTAGTTTATCAGTGTGTGTTCTATCACATATATTCCGGTTTTTGCGCAAAGTCAAAAACTTTTTGAAAAAATCAAAAAAATATATTTTTGTAATTGTAAATAAATATTTTTCAACATTTTCTCAAAATTTCGAAAATTTGAGATAGCAGTTCGATAGCTAGATGTATTTGTAGTCCACTCATCCAAAGAAAATGGATCTAGCCTTAACACTAAGCTCTTGAGAGCGTTTGCAGTAATTCAGTATTTTGCATGAAAATCGGCCGACATGACGTCACTCTGACGTCATTTTCGGCTCAACTATGGTAGCTAGAAAGTTGAAATTTTAACACAAGGTGTCAAATTAATGCCTCTGAGGGTACCGCAAGTTTCGTGTTGATCCGTCAAACGGTTTAGAAGATATTGCTGAAAAAAACATGAGGGGGGCTCTGTAGAGCCCCCCCCCCCGTCATGCGCGGGTGAAAGCCAATATCTTCATTTTATGAATTTATTTAAGCGTTTTAATCGATGATGCTCTCTGATAATATGGAAAAGTAGGCATATAAGCAATAAGTGCAATCCTAGCTGATAGCTAATAAGAGACACACTGAATCTAATTTAAAGGAAAAGTGCCACCTTGTGAAATATGAAGACATCGTTGCTTTTCATTTTGACATTATTATTTTTCATGTTCTTTTTAAATCTGGTGCCAGAAGTGCATAATTCGCAAAAAAGTATGTCAAACTATTTAACATATTGGTACTATGTTTGTACTCTCTACCGCACCTTCTGTATGATGTTATTGCGATGACATCACACTCAAGCCAATCAGCCTTCAGAAGACAGTCTCGTCGGCTTATGTCAGATTAGCTGATTGGTTAAAGCTGAGCTGATTGGAGCTGATTGGTTAAAAACCAAAGCCTCGCCGCGGGTGGCTGTATTACAGGATAAGAACGCATTCCTGGGATAAGGACGCATTCCTGGCATATTTTCTTTTAAAATTGCCGATACCTACAAATGGAGGCCGAAATCGGCCGTAAGGTGGGACACTCACGGGGTTTTCGGACACGGGCTACAAGATGGCCATCTCAGTTTCAAACCCCATGTTAAAGGTGACCCTTTTCCTTTAACCAAATCTGCACCTGATCTGCACCAGATGTGCACCAAATGTGTACCAGATGGCCGTCGCGAAAACGGTTTATTTGGCCAAATCTGCACCAAATCTTCACCTAATCTGCACCAAATGTGTACTTACCAGATGGCCGTCGTGAAAACGTTTGAATGTGAAGAGTGCATCAATTGAATGATGGTCGGCAGCCGATGTCACATCAGATTCGGTCATATCAGGTCATAATAGCAAGGCTGGATTTTATATGCCCATTATTTCATGAGAAATTAAAAAAAGCACAAAAGCAACGCCATCGTATAAACGTCTAATTAATATAATCGTTTTAATTGAAGGTGGTTTAGCCGTTGCCCGTATTGGTGTTTTTCCAGTCGCGAACATATAATGGGGGGGGGGGTCCGTTGGACCCCCTTGCCCTTTCGCCCCTGATCGAGCTAGAGCTTCGCAGAAAAACGACTAACGAGCGTGTTGCCCGTGACGAGAGGAAGCCGATGATACCCTATTTTAAGGTCCTAGGTCATTGGTTGACCTTCCAGGTCAGGTCAATGACCCAAAAGTCGTATGTCGAGTCCCCTTCAATGGGGACTCTTATGCCCTGTCAACATACCTGCCTGTTTTTTATCCTTGGCGCAACAGATTTAGCGTTCGTGTTCAGTCAGTTCGCTGGCGGCTCCGTCAGACGGCTGTGACCCGCGCCTCACTGCACTGAACGGAGCTCTCGTGAGAGCCGGCTGGCACCACACTTCACCACTGGGTCAGGTCGACTACTGACGGCTGGGACGGCAGGAGAGCGAGTGAGCTGGGAGAGAGGAGGGGAGCGAGGGAGAGCGGCGGGCCGCGGAGGTGCCGCGCCGGTAGGGTAGGGTGGTATGGTATAATGGCAGTTTGCACGGCTGGGATGGCCCGAACATGAGCTGTGAGAGGGATGGAACATGCGGGGCGGTAGACAGGAAGAACAGAAGACCGAGAATAGGTTATGAAAAAATGATTAGGTGCACTACAAATTGAAGAAAAGATAGAAACTTTGAAGAATATGTTGCATGTGAAAAGAGGCTAAGAGGGACAGCGAACGTACTTTGCTTGTTTATGAAGAAGCGCAAAAGAAGACCTTGATTGTGACAACAGGCAACAAGCTGACACAGTCTTTGATTATCCCGTCTGCACTACACCACCATTCGTGCATTAGAAATGTATTTCCATACGTACTTGCATCATGCTAACGCGAATCATGCAATGGCATTAAGTCGTGTTTGCACTTTCGTACGCAAGTGCAGCCAATGACGCTGTCACAAAGAGATAACCAATGATAGAACATGATAGACTTAAACAATGCCTTTCAAGATGTGGTTCGTGTGATTCGTGCTGTAGACACGGGAGCCTCAATAGTATCCCCCACTGTAGCCGCCGCCGTACGCCCCAGCACGTCCCCCGAACGCACCCATCCCGCCGTACTGCCGGCCGTAGCCGCCGTAGCCGCCGTAGGATCCACCGCGCCTGCCGAGCCCGCCGTAGCCGCGGCTGCCGTAGCCGCGGCTGCCGTAGCCGTAGGGAGACCGGTCGTAGCCGCCGTACATTCCACGATTTCCGTAGCCGCGGTAGGCGCCGTTACCGAAGCCATAGTCGTTGTTGTATCCGTTCATACTGCGTCCGTATCCTCGGCTGCCACGGCCGTTGCCATAGTAACCACGACGTCCGCCGTACTGGCCAGGATAACCACTGAAAAAGTGGATACATTGTCATACACGCATTTTTATAGAATGTGCATTTTGTTATAAATGAAAGTACCTGCCTAATGGCTAATACTATCAATGATTATTCTGACATGTGCTTGGAAAAAGAAAAAGGCGCCTAATATGGGCGAAAAAAACTCACCGTCCGAAGCCGGCTCCCTGTGAATAGTATCTGTTGGCCTCTGTATCCTGGTCCTCACTGACTGACGATGGAGCGGTGTCGTGATCCTCCTTGTCCTCAGCGGCAGCCGCCAGGGCCAGCGTCACAGCCAGAACCACAATCAGCCTCATGGTTCTCTGCTGCAGGTAGCTCGGGACTCTGAGAAGAGACACTGATGCCACTCTGTGCAGATCGACGGTTCTTATACCTCAAGAACGGTAACCACAGCCTGAGCTTTGAACCGACAGCCGCGAATGCATCCTATGTTCCCGGTCTACATGCATGAAATTATAACTATGAGAGGGTTGAAGTGTCTCGTCTCCGACTTTATCATCTGGGAAAGGATCAGACCCCAAAAGGTGACCTTGTCTGCAACTCGCTGTAAGATTGTTACCTACGTTACTGTCTTTGTTTCACTCTAATTTTGATTTTTGGCTTGAATGTTTTATATAAGCAGCTTCCCGGAGTCAAAGACTATGTACCTAAATAGGGCATTTTGCAAGGGACTTCTTCATTTTTCATCCTATTGGGAACGTCTGGATTAGTACCTTCCTGGCATAGTTTATAGTCGAATATTTGATGCGTCAGCGCGTCGGCACGGACTTTTGATTTTTTCTTGAACTTGAGTGATCTGTTGTGTATTCTGAACACTTCATTTGACTCGAACCTTTTACGCGACAGGTCTTCTTGTGTATTTAAGGGGACCAAACAAGATGTTGAGAGTAAGAAAATATTACTCCAGAAGCGGGTGGCTACGAATATCGTTCAACCTTAAATATGGTCGATGTTTCTTGTTAGAATGGGTAAATGGACGACACATGACGCTTCCCCGCCTTTGTCAAAAGACTCATATAGCCTGTTCACAACCCTGACAGAGAGTCAAACTGCTAAGCTAATATCGGCGGTGATTAGCTCACAAGTACTCCATCAACAGCAGTTTGAAAGTAGTTAATAATTCAATTTTTGCGAATGTTATTGGAACGGTGTCATAAAATCGATGGCAAATGCATTCCGGTCGTGCGTGTCTTCGTTTGTTCGTGTAGTATGCTCACTCCGGGAGTTGAGGCACTCCAGGGTTAGTTGCAATAACTTTCTGTTTGTGAAGGTCATCATCGAAATTTCCAATAACGACTGCAAGCGCAATGCCGTAGTGAGCTGTGCAGTCACGTGCCTACTGCCTATCTTACCGTATAATTTGCAGTTTTCCTGGAAACATCGTTAATATGAAATAGACTATTGTTTATTTCACCAGAGACAAAGCCATCTATATGGAAATATGGAAATATGATGAGCTCAATTGGCTGATCCCGTTTCAAAACTAAAAACACATATCGTCAAACGAATTAATGAGCTACTTTGTACCTACTTTTGCAGACAGAACAATAACATGCATTCCGAAGTTTGTTTATACCTATGCATCCTCCTCCTTTCAGGCACGGTCAATAAGCTCAAACAGTAGATAATTTCACATCAACATAGTTACATCTTTATTATGATGACAAAGTTGATCCATTTCGCGGCTGTCGGTTCAAAGCTCAGGCTGCGGTTATCCGAGCCCACCTCCTTGGAGTATGAGAACCACCGATCTGTACAGAGTGGCATCAGTGTCTCTTCTCAGAGTCCCGAGCTACCTGCAGCAGAGAACCATGAGGCTGATTGTGGTTCTGGCTGTGACGCTGGCCCTGGCGGCTGCCGCTGAGGACAAGGAGGACCACGACACCGCGCCCTCGGCAGTCAGTGCGGACCAGGATACAGAGGCCAACAGATACTATTCACAGGGAGCCGGCTTCGGACGGTGAGTTGTTCCGCACAAATTAGCCGCTTTTTCCAAGCACATGTAATAATATTTTCTTATATCGGCATTCGGCATAACCGTTTATGACAAAAGTACACTGCTTGTGTGAAAGGTACCTACACATACATATCATTGTTATCTGTGTATCTACTTTTTCAGTGGTTCTGCACTGAAAACAATTTAACCCAAGGCCCGCGAATAAACCGGTGTTTTGCAGGTACCCCTATCCGCAACCATTTTTAACCACCCTCCCAGGAGTACAGTAAGGTCCCATTGCAGTGTAGTCGTCCCTGCTCTCAGCGGATTTGTTCGCTGGCAGCGGTTATATCCGCTCAGAGCAAGTACGACTACACCGCAATGGGACCTAGCACTACTCCTGGGAGGGTGGTTAAAAATGGTTGCGGATAGGGGTACCCGTAAAACACCGGTTTACTCGCCAGCCTTGGGTTAAATTGTTTTCAGTGTGGCCAGTACGGCGGACGTCGTGGTTACTATGGCAACGGCCGTGGCAGCCGAGGATACGGACGCAGTATGAACGGATACAACAACGACTATGGCTTCGGTAACGGCGCCTACCGCGGCTACGGAAACCGTGGAATGTACGGCGGCTACGACCGGTCTCCCTACGGCTACGGCAGCCGCGGCTACGGCGGGTTCGGCAGGCGCGGTGGAGCCTACGGCGGCTACGGCGGCTACGGCCGGCAGTACGGCGGGATGGGTGCGTTCGGGAGACGTGCTGGGGCGTACGGCGGCGGCTACAGTGGTGGATACTATTGAAATATGCTGCAATGTCTTGCATGTTTTGGCTCTTCTGACTACTGACCATGTCGCATTGGAATCACACGCTGATGGATCTGCTTGAACTTTATTTTTAATCTCTGTTGGGTCATTTGGGTAAAAGCGTCCTGCGACTATCGCGAGGTGTACAATGATGCGCCATTTGCGTGTATCTTGGTGTCTATCGCTACCTATGTTTCTCACACCGTATGAATATATTCTGTGACAAACTTATAATAAGAATTTCATATGACTATTAACCATCTGCGAATGATAAACTCGTTTCCAAGGGCATCACTATTCCTGACGAGTACCTCGTGAGAAACTAAGCTGCCCATGGTAACACCAGTAGGTAATCCGTAGCTGGTGAACCGAAATTTTTGTTGTTTAACCCTATTAGTGGCAGGGGGGTTGTTTTCATCCACCCCTCAGGTTTTTCGGGAATATCTCCGAAACCGCTGAAGCTACGATGCTGAAATTTTCTGACTTTTCCTAAAACTAAATTGGGCACATTCCCTGAAAATTTCAAGTTCATAACTTTACCAGGGGCGGCTCTAGAGCACTGGGAATTGGGGGGTCCTATTCGTGAAGCGAGTCATTTGGGCGAAGATCACGATGCTGATGTATTTATAACTGTATGCACCAGTTTTACGAACAGTGAATGACAGGTATCATGTGATAACATTACAAAGTTATTGTGCATCCTCTTTTGACACGTTTTTGCTATAATAGGCGGATCCAGGCGTCCAAAAAGGGGGGTTATTTTTTACCTCCCAACATAGGTGCCCTGACACCGCCTATGCATGACCAATACAATTTTAGTCGTTCTCTCATAAGAAAATTGTAACATAACAAGACCACTGCCACCCTTTTTAGAAACAGTACCAACAAAAACCTTATTTACTTTACTTTTGTGTACCCCCAGTCCCAATGATCTGTATCCGCCTATGATTTTTGAAAATGCATATTTTTAGGATCCATGTGAATTCCTGGTTCATTCTCTATCGATCGGCAAAAGTTGCGTTAAGATTGGTTCAGAAACCTGGCCGTGATAAACAGTCTAAAATGTATCTGCAATTTGCCCGTTTTTACCCCCCTCTACCCCCCTATTGACATTTTTTAATTTTTATTTTTTTTTAGAAATGTAGATCACGTTGAGCGAAATCGAATGCCGTTTGAATTTTGAAAATCGGCCCGTTAGATCTCAAGATATCAAGGGGGGTCGTAAAAAGCCCCCCTGCCACTAATAGGGGTAGCCAGGAGCCTGCCACTAATAGGGTTAACCCTCGCCGGCCGAGGGGGGGGGGGGCGGGTGCCGCTCCCCATAGGGTTTTTTCGCGATAGCTCAAAACACGCTGGTGATAGAGAGCTGGAACTTTGCATACCTGACCTTGGATTCAAGCCAAATCTTTTGACATCAACCGCATTTTCGGGTCACGTCAGGTAAGTGACCTGTGGCGTCATAAATGAAACTCTGCACGGTCTTCAGATGTCGCAACTTCGCAACGCCTTTGCACTGCCAGATGAGCTTTCACAGGGATACAAGTCTCACAACTTGTATATCTCAGATTTCTCTTAAAGGTCATATGAGGTCAGGTCATTTTCATGACCTCACCATTTTAAGTCAATGGGGGAAAAATGAAAGCTGCTATTTTGGCACCGGGAACGATCTCGAACTATCAATGCCACATGGAATCGTGGTTTCATGCACTCCTTGCAAGTTTCGATGCCTCAATTTTGCATTGTTGACCTTGGGTGACGTCATTTATGACGACACTAAGGTCATACGAGTTTTTCGCCAATAACTCATGATCAAATTGAGCTAGCGAATCGGACAAACCAGCAATGGACTCGGAAAGACCTGCTGAATCGAATGATATGTGACATGACCTCCCACGACCAACTTCGTGACCTGGGGGTTCTGACCTGACCGTGACCCGAGGTCAACACCTCAAGTTGACCTCAGCCAAACAAAAAGTTATACCACTCGACGCCGGCTGAGCAAGTCGACCACGATGATGCCAAAATCGCGGCTCTGCGGCTGTTTTTTTTTTTTGCGAAGTTAGTTACAAAAACCGAACCCGTACCTTGGGCCACTTGACCTGACCTCAGAGGTCACCGGTTGACCTAGAACCTTGAAATGGGGTATCAATCTCTGCGTCTCTTAACGGCGCATACACTCGTTGTTTTCGCGACGCGCTAGCTCTACCAGGGGCGAAACGGCGAGGGGGGACGTACCCGCCCCCCCCCCTCGGCCGGCGCGTATGTAGAAAACCAATAGGTCCAGCGAGGGTTAATTTAGAGTGACTGATTATTTGATTGAGAATGTTGGTAACATAAGAATGTTGACTATACATATTTAAAGCTTTGAAATGTTAGTCGAGACTATCAAGGTATTTTTACTCGTATTTTTAGCACAGCCAAGCTGTGTGATTTGACCATGACCGGGGTTATATGGGCTGAGTAAATGTATATTAGTGTCATGCGGGGCAGCTGATGTAGATAGCGCAGGTGTAGTTACCTACCAATTACCTTGGTTGTTTTCTCTTTTGGCGGAAACACGGTCTCGACTTCCCCTCCTCGCTCGCCCAGGTGTCTGTGTCTGCCGATTCCTTCTTGCGTAGCTGAAAGACGCCCCGAGCGGAGGGGAAGGAGACTTGGG